GGATGCTTAACTAACTGAGCCACCCAGGCTCCGCTTAGAAATTTTTTTTTAATGTTTGTTTATTTTTGAGGGAGAGAGAGAGAGAGAGCGCATGCACGCACATGCACAAGTGGGGGAAGGGCAGAGAGAGAAGGAGACCGAGGCAGGCTCTAGGCACTGAGCTGTCAGCGCAGAGCCCGATGCAGGGCTTGAACCCATGAGCCATGAGATCATGACCTGAGCTGAAGTCAGCTGTTTAATGGACTGAGGCACCCAGGTGCCCCATGTCTATCCTCTCTACAAAACAGGAATGTGGGGGCACCTGTGTGGCTCAGTCAGTTAAGCATCCAACTCTCAGTTTTGGCTTAGGTCATGATCTCATAGTTTGTAAGATTAAGCCCCTCGTTGGGCTCTGTGCTGAGTGCAGAGCCTTCTTGGGATTCTCTCTCTCCTCTCTCTCTCTTCTCCTCACCCCATACTCACTCACTCTCTCTCTCTCTCAAAATAAATAAACATTAAAAACAAAAACAGGGGTACGTGGGTGGCTCAGTTGGTTGAGCGTCTGGCTTCGGCTCTGGTCATGATCTCACCGTTCATGGGTTCGAGCTCCGCTTCGGTTTCTGTGCTGACAGGTAGCTCAGAGCCTGGAGCCTGTCTTTGGGTCCTGTGTCTCCCTTTTTCTCTGACCCTCCCCTGCTGATGCTGTCTCTCTCAAAAATAAATAAAAATACATTTAAAAAATTAAAAAAAAACCCAAAACAAAAACAGGAACACGGATGAGCCTCAGATTGCTCAGGTTCAGGTTTGCTGGAACCTTTCTCTCCCCCCCGCCCTTTGCCTTTGCTGCCTCCTCCTAACGGAAGTCTGCAGTGGCTGGTCCTGCGAAGCTGGCATGTGAATTCAGTGAGGCCATCAGCACCATATTCTGGCCCCTAGTACCACACCTGCACACAACAAATGTTCAACCAACATTTGTGGAAGAGCTCAGGAGACTTCTGCCTTTCCCCTTTAGGGAGTAAGAGCATGGGACAACAGTAACAACACGTCAGAGCAACCAAAGTTACTGTGTGTCCAGAACTGTGCTACCAGTTTGATGTGTTTCAGCCCATTCAATCTTGACAATAGCCCACAAGGTAGGTTTTTACCAGCCTCATTTTCTAGGTGAGAAAATTGAGATTCATCTAGATGAAGCCAGCAGGTGGAGCTGATTTCTGAAACCAAAATTCCCCTACTCCTAGATTTTTCAAGCTTTGATCCCTCTAATTCTGTGATCCATCTGTAACCACTCCAGGTATGAAGCAGTTGCCCCAGCTAATAGATGCCCTTTGTTAACCTCTTTATCAAGAGTCTGTAGGCCTCCCTGAATCCAAATCCACAACACTGGGCAGGGGGATTCATGAATTTGGGGTCAACTTGTGAGGACAATGGGACTGAGATTGTGGTGGAGGAATGTACTTAGTCTTCTGACTTCCAGGGCTCTCTGGGACCCCAGGCCAGAGTTACTCAGCGTTTTTATCTCTTTGGGTTCCTCCTCTGTGGGTGCTCCAGGCCCTGAAGGAAGAGAACTTTGGAGAATGACTGCCAGCCATTTCGTAAGGTCTGTTCTGCTTGCTTCTGCACGTGCCACTCACCTCCTGTTTACCACTGTCAGGCTTGCCAAAGTTGGGCTAGACTGGCTCTGTCTTCAGTGTGGCCTTGTGGGACATAAGGAAGCCATCTGGGAAAGCCAGCAGTGGTAGAGAGAGTAGCCTACTAGCCCTAGGACAGAACCCTCCTTGAACCTGGCTGAAGGGGAGGAAAGTTAGGTAGACCAGCAGCTGGACAGGCAAATGACCACATGACACCCTTCTGGCCAAGTCAGATAGGGGTTCCATGGACTTCTTGACTTCCAGCTGCTGCTTCTCTCACCAGGAGGGGCCTCAGGTCCCTTACATCATGTGTTTGTCTAGACATTCCCTACTGATCACTCCCTGGAGCTGGCCCCTTACTGGGGTGTGCAGCGAGGGGGCTGGACGAGTCTTCAGTTGTCTACCACACCTGCTGACATAAGCATCCAGAAGGGTGGGCTGTGTGGATACCAGGTGTTGGGAACCCGCTCTGACCAAACAAACATCTACCATCTGGCATATGTGATTTATCATTTGGCCTCAAGTTCAGACATGCTATCTCTTTGCTCAACCTAGCCTGCTCTTCTCTGAGGCCTGTCAGATCTGCAACCACACGCTGTGCACAGCGTCCCCTGCCTCAGAGCGTTTGTGCTTCCTGTTTTTTTTTTTTTATAAATAGTTTATTGTCAAATTAGTTTCCACATAACACTCAGTGCTCATCCCCACAAGTGCCCTCCTCCATGCCCATCCCTCCTCCCCCCGACATCCATCAGTCCTCAGTTTTTGTCAGCATTCAAGAGTCTCTCATGGTTTGCCTCTCTCCCTTTCCCCCACCATTTCTCCCCTTCTTCTCCCCCTTGTTCCCCCGTCAAGTTCTACCTAATCCTCCTATACGTGTAAACATATGATATTTGTCCTTCTCTGGCTGACTTATTTCGCTCAGCATAACACCCTCAAGGTCCATCCACATTGCTACACATGGCCAGATTTCATTGTTTCTCATTGCCATGTAGTAGTCCATGGTATTATAGATAAACCACATCTTCTTGATCCATTCATCTGTTGATGGACACTTAGGCTCTTTCCATGTTTTAGCTATTGTTGAGAGTGCTGCTGTGAACATTGGGGTACATGTGCTCCTATGGCTCAGCATTTCTGTATCCCTTGGGTAAATTCCTTTGTGCTTCCTGTTTTTATTCAGGAAGCCTGCCTTCCTCCACCTGGCTGCCACGGCTCCCACAAGCTAGTGTACGCTATGAAGCTAACCAGCTGAGTCCCCTCGATTCCAAATCTGGCTGGACATCAGGCTGTACCTGATGCTGCCCCCCCCCTTTTTTTTTTTTAACTTATTAGGATAATTTCAAACCTAAAGTAGAAGAGTATATTGAAACACCTATGTACCAATCATCCAGCTTCACCAATTATGGATGGCCCATTTTGTTTCATTTATACGTTACTCATCCCCTTCTACAGAATATTTTTAAGGCAAATCAAATGTTTATTCCATCCATATTTAAGTTTGCATCTCTAAAGATAACAGCTCTTTTTGAAAGACAACTACCATACCATTATGGCACCTAAAAGAGTCAACAATACTTGTTTAATATCATGAATTATCTATCATGTTCAAATTTCCCTGGTTGCCTAATTTTTAAATAATTGTTTTAATTATAATGTAGATAAGGCCACCTGCATTGCATTTGTTGTTCCTCTTCTTTCTTCCTTGTAATTTATTTGTTGAAAAAAAATCATGTCCTTTGTCATTTAGGGTTTTCTGTCTTGGAATTTGCTGTATTCCACGGTGTCCTTTTACAGGTTTCTCAGTCACTTGTATTTCCTATGAAATCATGATTATGAGAAAAATGTAAAACTGCAGATTTCTAGATCCCACCCTAAAAATGCATTCAGCAGAACTGATACAGGTCCTGGGGAATCTCTAGTTCTCCTAGGAGCCCTGGGTGAATCTGTTTGCCTCATGTTTGGGAACTGCCAACCTACTTGACTCCTCCAGGATCACAAATCTTCCTCAGTCACACCAAGTATCAGAGAGCAATATAAGGTTCTAATCTCCAGTGCTGGGGAGTGGGAGCTGCTCCAGGAAGAGGCATTAGCTGTCTTTTGTGGGTTAACTGAGACTCAAAGTGGGAACGCCCCAGGGCCTGTGCCTCCTTCCACTAATCCAGTTGAGGGAAACTCCTTCAGCTCTCAGGACTTTTCCTGGCCTGGAGGCTGTCTAGGGAGGAGCAAGACTCTTGTCTTTGTGGCCCTTGAGGGTGAGTGTGTTGTCCACAGCGTGAGTGGCTTTATCTGAGCCTGAGGGCTACATGCTGCTGACAGTGCCCCCCTTCTGATGTGGGGTGCTGAGGCAGGTGGGCCTGGGACACAGGCCCACACACACCCTGTGCTCTTTCTTCTTTGCTGATATTCCCTCACCCCCACTCCCCAGGACCAACTGTCCCTGTAACTGCTGAAGAGACATTCCCTGGTAACAGCCAGCATCTCACTGGCGTGGCACACAGTCGTCGGAATGACCTTTTTGGCATCTGTATCTAATCATTTCACTATTCGGCTCAACTCCCTCCCATGACTTCCCCTCACACTTCAGATCCGCATTCCTCACCATGGCTGACAAGGTCTGGCCCGTGTCTACTTTTTCAACCATTTCTTTCTTCTCTCTCCTTTCTGCCCATACTGACTTTTCCGTTGGTCCTAGAACAGGCCAGCCTAATTCCTACCCCAGGTTCTTTGCATTTGCTATTTCCTTCTCCAGAAATAGTCTCCCTCCAGCTTGTCACAGGATTCCCTCACATCTTCACTGAGATGTCACCTCCTCAAAGAAGACTTCCCTGACTACCTTGTGGAACCTAGCACCCCCTTCATCACACTATACTCTTATCCTATTTTACTTTTCTTTATAGCAGGTATAACTACTTGAAATTATATAAATTTACTTGTTTCTTTAGTTTGTGGGTACCATGAAGAGAAGGGCTTCAATCATCTTATTCAATGATATACCCTAAGCAACTAGCAAGTGCTCAATAAGTATTTGTTGAGTAAATGGATAGTGGACTGACACACAGAACATCTTCTCAGTCCTGCCTTACATCTCCTTACACATACGTGCGCACGCATGCGCACACGCACATGCACACAACAGGGGGCAGGTCTCATCAAGCTCACCGTTTTTTAAAGTTTATTTATTTTGAGAGAGAAAGAGCATGAGCCAGGGAGGGGCAGAGAGAGAGAGGGAGATGGAGAATTCCAAGTAGGCTCCCTGCTGTCAGCGTGTTAGTGTGCAGCAGGGCTCCATCTCATGAACTGAGATGATGACCTGAGCTGAGATGAAGAATCAGACGCTTAACCGATTGAACCACCCAGACACCCTTGGGCTCTCTATTTCCTAAAGAACCTGCCTGTGTCCTGGACCAATTTGCACAGGTGTCATTGTGGCAGCCACACAGAAGCTGCACTCCTGGGTCTTTTTTGTAGGCAGCATGTGTTTGAGCAACAGATATCCCATGTGGCAATATACTTCAAGGGAAAAGGGAGATTAGGGGCCTGGCCTCAGACAAACTGGATTTCAAGTCAAATATGTTAGAGAAAATGATTTTATTGAACAGTAAGAAATTCCACTGGGGCTAAAAAGGGCTGGGAATGAAGGAGCACGTGAACCTCAGTGGTGGTGCCGCCCAACTCTCCATTTTCTTCCGGCTCTGGGCAGCAGGTCTTCCTGGGTTTCTTTATTCTGCCTCCTGATACTCCAGACAAGAGGCTCCCTCGGTAGACACAGATTGCTTTTTTTAGTTTAAAAAAGCCCAGCCCCTCTTGGTTTAATTGGTGGTTGCTGGCAATGATTCAGGCCAGGAGTCCATCTGATGGACTGAGCCCCTACTTAGGCCACTCTGAACGCTCTCTCTGCTCCTGAGTCCTCCTTAGCTCAAAGAGTGCAAACTTTTCTTTCTTCCTCCCAAGAAGGGGCTCTAGAGAATTGAGCAAAGACACATCAGATTTTCTTCCAGGCCAGCTTTGGCCCTGGGATGTTCAGAGCAGGCTTTTGTTTCAAACTTGAGTTTCTAAGGCTCCATGCCCATGACCAGTTAACATGAAAGGAGGCTCCTGTCTGAGGAAGGCTCAGATAGAATCTGGTTCTAATCTCCAGTGGTGGGCAGTGGGGGGGTCACTTCAGAAAGAGGCATTAACTGTCTTAGGCAGTTAAATGTTTGCCCTCGTATAAAGTGGCTCAGCCAGCAAGTTTCTTTGGGTTCACCCTCCTGCTACTGTGCTGCAATCGCCGAATTTTGGGGCTGGAGCAACCTATGTCTTTATCCGACTCTGACACAGCTCGGCGTCTTTTGGGAGCCCGTCTGGGAGTTGGTTTCTCTGCTTCCGTCTTTGCTGGGGTAGCCATAGGAGCATCCCCATAGGTCCGGTAGCCACCAACCAGGCAGTATGTCTCCCCATGCCAGCCCACCTGGGTTTCTCCACACCCTTGGTAGAGGACATGGTAGTGAGCAGGTGTAGGAGAAGTGGGATCCACTGCTGCTGGAAAGAAAATCAGATCTAATCAGTCACTTGTGCTGTATAGAGTGTCCTGCCAGGACCTCCCTTCTCATGTCTCCCCCAGTTTCTGGCTGAAGCCCTTTAATCTGCTTGGTATTTAAAACACAGCCTTGGTTGGGGTGCCTGGGTGGCTTAGTCGGTTAAGCGTCCGACTTTCGCTTAGGTCATGATCTCGCGGTTCGTGGGTTCGAGCCCCGCGTCGGGCTCTGTGCTGACTGCCAGCTCAGAGCCTGGAGCCTGTTTCAGAGTCTGTTACTCCCTGTCTCTCTGGCCCTCCCCTGCTCACGCTGTCTCTCTCTCTCTCTCTCCTAGAAATAAATAAAATTAAAAAATACATATAAAAAATAAATAAAAAAAATAAAACACAGCCTTGGTCTGTCACCATTGTGAGTTCCCTAGAGAAGGAATGTGGCTGCAAAGGTGATTCTGCAGAGCTCATGGGAGCAGCAGGACACCCAGAAATCTGTTCCCCATTCCCAGAGGAAACAGTAGAACCCGAAAACAGTTGCAACCAGGATTCCCTCCATCTCTCCCTTCTATGGGGGTCGGGGGGGAATTCCTAAGGTCTATAACTTCTGAAGCTTTAATAGAAATTCCTTTCAAGTGTTACAAGAAAATTATTATAAATGGATTAAGAACCCCTCCCATCTTGGCAACTCCTCTTGGGCCCCATTCATACTGCCTGTTTCAACCACACTCTAGCCCTCTGATATTTTTGCCTAGATTAGAAAATGACCAAATACTGAAGTGGAGTTATCAGGAGGTTCAAAGCCAGATTCTGGGTAGCAAGTCTAGGCTCACATCAAGCCAACCTCCTGGGACACCATTTCATCAACTCTCCAGTCTTGGTATCACTTCATCACTCCTCTTGGCTCTTATGTTCTTCCTGTCCACATGACACCACCACCCTAGTACTCAGCAGCTCAGTCTGGGGTATGTCTGAGGGGACCCATGTGGATGTTTAGACAACAGCATGGTGAAGGTGCCTGGGTTTGAAGGGGAGGTTCGTGAGCGGACCTCAACAGTTCTTCCTCAAACTGCTCCATTTATCACTTGCCAACAAAAATTTGTTTGACTTTTGCTAAAAGGCCAATCAGGAAAGGGTCAGAATGGAAGCATCTTGTAGCCCAAAAGGGAAGCTACATTTATAAAGATTAGAAGTTTTCTGAATACTTGCCCAGGAAGGACATCTTACTTGCCTTCAGCAATGAGCAGGAACACTGTAGTTCCCTGAGGGGTATTACTTACAGCTGGGGGAGCTCTGAGGTGTGGCGGGCAAGCCCCAAAGCAACCTGTGGCAGCCAGGTGAAGTTGTGTATATGCCAGTGACTCTTGTACAGATGACTGGCCTAGGCCTACCTGTTGTGCAGCCCTCCCAGGGGACAGAGGACAAATTTGAATGAATATAGAAGATCCGGTCAGACATTCTCTCTAAAGCATCCAAACAGCTTGGTATCCAGTAGAGAACTGGTAGGGAAGTTTCCCCGAGAGTACCACGTTTGTGTAGTTACCCTGCCATGGAAACTGTATAAAGGTTTGTGAGGTCATCACTACCCAGTGAGGTCACATAGGAGCCTGTAACTTGAGGGGCAGGTTTTAAGCTCTCTGGGTTTTTTCTGGAGGAGAGCAGAGTGGAGGCAGAGGAGCACCCTGCCTGGGCCCTCCCTCCTTTCTCCCTACCCAGCCACTCCCCATGGAACATACTTATACTGTGGCACAGCCTCAGGGACCGAAAGAGGGCAAGAGAAAACCACATTCTATGGTTGGCTAGAGAGGCAAGATTAACATAAGAGACAGCCTGGTTATATGGTACTGGCCCTAAGTATTCAACAGCTAGAGAGGCAGAAATTTATGTGGAAAGCTCCTTGGAATTGGGCCTGAAAGACCAGTTAGATTTGGACTCACGGAGAGGAGAGGGAAGACATTCCAGCTGGGAACAATAAAAGCAAAGACAAGCTCTTCTTGAACTTGTCCTGCCCCAAATGTAAATTCATATAACCCTCACGTTTTTACAACTGAGGGCTCAAAAAATCAGGAGGTTAAGGGGCCTAGCCAAGATTACACAGGTAGGGGAGAGGTGTTCTGCTGAATGATAGGGCTTCGTGTTGGGCTCTGGATTTATACCTGATAGGAATGTGAGGGCAAGCTTATCACATTTCAGAGTGACACTGGGAGAGATGTTAAAGGTGCTCCAAGGCAAAATGAGGGTCCTGAATGGCTTCAGAAAATGGGAATAGTGGGCCCATTTTAATATAAAATTCAAAACAAATTCATGACAAAATGACATAATACAGAATGACAACCTGATCATTACATTCATCTCTCCCCGCAAAAGGCAAATTATTAACAATGCTACCACTGTGAAAGGATGCAGTGTGGGCCTATGAGAAGTCCAGGTGAAAAATGTGGTCAAACTGTGGAGAGATGTTATTATAAGTTGGGTGGATCCTCCTGATCCTCCTGAGAGGAGTAGGAAAGAGAGAACTCTGCCCTTAGCCTGATCAGGCTCATAGGAAGGAGCCATATTTGGGTCTGACTTTCATTGATACAGTGCAGCCAATGACTTCCTAGCAATGAGAGATAACTTTCTTTGTGAAGGGGGCTCCTGTTCAGGCTGACCTTGAACATGCAAACACAGGATGCTTGTTTCCTGGGGCAGTTGCGAAGGGGATGTGTTCCGGAGCTGGAGAATGACTAGTCTATTTTAGAGGTTGGGCAACCCTAGCTGAGAACCACATCTTCTATTCCTAAGTTGCTTGAATTAGTGTGGTGCAAGTTAAGACACACAAAATCAAGCCTGATTAGAGCCAATTGCCCTTGGGGAGTGCTAGGGAGTAAAATGTGAAGGGGAGAGCTCTGGAGGAGGTTCATTCTAGCAGGTGAGGAGCATAAGACCACTTAGATTCTCCAAGGCTCCAGAGATTATTGTCTGGGAACATCACTCTGACCTGGTGGGGTTACTGATACCTTATCAGGTATCAGAGACCCTGGCTGGGTCTCTGGGGAAAGCAGAATAGCTTAGACAAATGGTTTTGAGCTCAGGAATCTGTACTTTTTTAAAAGACTATTTCAAGTAATGTGTACACCCATGGTGAAGCTTGAACTCACAACCCTGAGATCAAGAGTCACATGCTCTAGTGACGGAGTCAGCCAGGTGCCCTTGGAATCTGTACTTTTAGACAAGCCTCCTGGGCAGTTTTACCATACTGATTCATGGATAGAGTGACCAAATTATTGTCCAAACTGAGTTGCTTTTGAGAGTCCAAGTGGGCACTATTAAAAGTTGGTAAATAACTCAACCCCCGGTGCAGATAGACCAGATTCTGTCATATTTATGTGCATGATTTTGAGCAAGTTCTTTTATCCCTCTGAGCCTGAAGTTTCCTCACATGAAGAAAAATGCTGATTATACATTTAGTATAGTACTATCTTCAGGCAAAGATTGCTCTGGGTCCATTTCTCTTTATTCTTTTCAGTGTGTAAATATTTTTAAGTTGTTTTGTGGAGTATTATATTTGACTCTCAGCCACTCATTACTTAAGGTTATATAATGCTGCAGAACTGGAACCTGGGAGATAGTGAGAGGAAGCTATATGCTCCTTTTACCAGTTTTGTAAACAGTTTTGTTTCTCTTCTCTTCCCCTCCATGAAGAGATGAGAAAGAAGGTAGAGCCTGGAAATGCACACCATGCAATCCTTTTGTGTTAGCCTGTCTTTTATTCTTCTGCCAGTACTTCCCAGAGAGATTTCACCAAGAATGCCCAAGCTTGCCAGGAGCACTGTTGGTGAAGAAAACCTCTTTATTGCTAGTCACATCCCCTTTCTCTTCTCTGGAGGCTTAATGGGTGTTTTGGGGGCAGGAAATAAAATCTAAATGTTTATCCCTATATTTGAATTCAAACAATTCAAACAGAGCAACTGAAAGCCTCTGTCCTAGGTATGGTAGTCTGGAGTGTGAATCTTCTCACAATCCAATGAAAACATCATTTATTGTTAGAAATTATGACAGAATACAAAGACAAAAATCTACTTTATTTTTCATGAGTCATGTGAAAGACGACAAGGAACCATGCTCAGTAGCTCACTCTCCACATCTGGCCACATCGTACCTTTGGAAGCCAGACAGCAGCTCACTAGGACTTCAGGGAGGTGACTGGGCAGTCCAGTGCATCCTACTGACAAGTGTGCTCACCCACCCAGGACAAAGGGAAAGATCTCTGTTAATGTCATCGTATTTAAGCTGGCTGCTATCAGATTTGCTGAGCCAAAGGCTCTCTCACTGAGGACCCTAGTCCCGGAAGGCTTCTCCTCCGGCGAGCTGCCAGCTCAATCTTCTGAACCAGGTTTACATCCCAGGGATGGGTCACAAAGCTGATGACGGTGCCAGGCACCTCGCTCCCTACACGGCCCACCCTCCCGGCTCTGTGGATGTAGTCTTGCAGTGTGAGGGGGAAATCATAATTGACAACTAGCTCTACATGGGTGCTGTCCAGGCCCCGAGAGGCTATGTCTGTGCAGAGAAGAATGTCTCGGGAGCCCTTCTGGAAGCACTGGAAGATACCTGCCCTCATTGAGGCTGGCATTTGTCCCTGCAGCCTTAGGTGTTGGATCTTGTGATCATCCAGAATATATCCCAGCCAGTTCACAGTGCTTGAGCTATTACAGAACACTAGAACAGTTCCGGAGGGGCCAGTCCTATACGCTCTGCCACGCTGCTTGAGGATCTGCACCAACTCAGTCACCTTCTCTGCTCCCTTCAGCCTCATAAATGTCTGTCTGACATGAGGCATGATGCAGTGGAGCTTGGAGCTGGTGATGGTGGTCAGAGAGTCTGGGCTGGCAACTTTACTCAGCAGCTGGCCTACACCTTCGGGAAATGTGGCCCCCACCAGCACTAACTGAGCTTTGGGATTGAAGGGGTCTTTTAAGTCAGCTGGGCCTTCTGCTATATGGCTGTTCTCCAAGATGTAGTCCACCAGTTCCAGGAAGCTTTCATCCAAAAGTGTGTCTGCCTCGTCCAATACCAAATAGGAGAGCTGCTTCAGGCTGATTAGTTGACTTTTCAGGGCCTTCCACAAAGCCCCTGGAGTGGCCACTAGTACATCTACCGAAGGTTGTTTGGACAGTTGCATTCGGATCCTACTCATGCCATGGCCTCCCCCTAGCTCCCGCACCTGGAGGCCCAAGGAGCTGCCCAAGGGGTGGGCTACTGCCCGCACCTGTTCGGCTAATTCTCTTGAAGGCACAAGGACCAGGCCTCGAGGAGCAGGTAGACTATGGGAGTCCAGGCTTGGTCGGCCCAAGAGCCGTTGAAGCAGAGGTAGCAGGTATCCGAGAGTCTTGCCACTGCCGGTTTCCGCCGCGCAAAGGACGTGGCTGCCGCGAAGTAGGGAAGGGATGGTGCTTGACTGCACGGTTGTAGGCCGAACGACTTCAGGAGCAGCCTCCTGTAGAGCACGCAGCACGCGAGTTTCCAGACCCAGATCCGCGAAGCTGCTCTCGGACGAGAGGTTCCGAACTGCTGGCGCCTCGTGTTGCGAACGCTCGATGGAGAAGTGGTCCCGGCGGGAGCGCCGATTTTTCCAGCCACGCGAAGCCAGAGGCGCGCTCTCCCACCGGCCCAGCGTGAGGCGCGCGGGCTGGTTCAGCTCTGGCCGCCGCGCTGAGATCAGCAGCGGGCCAGGTCGCGCCAACACCAGCCGCGGGGGACTCCGCCGCCCGCTCTGCCGCTGCTCCTGCCGCCGCTGTAGAGCCCGCGGGACGCGCACCACAGGCAGGGGCTCGTCGGGACCGCGGACAGCCAGGTCGCGTCGAGGCGCCAAAAGCAGCCGAGACGCGAGCCACAGGAGCCGCGGCGGCCGTGTCAGATCCATAGCCCCTTTGGTGTAGGAGAGGCGCACGACAATGACGTCACGGGCGCGCTAGGCCTCGGGGACGGTGTCTGGTGTGGCTCAGTAAGGCTTGCGGAGTTGGCGAACCGTGAGGAAGGAGGGAGAAACTGTAAAGTTCAGCTGTGGTGAGGTCCGTAGGCCCGAAACGGGGTTGGTGACATCCAGACCCGGACCAGCCTTGGGGAAAAGGGCGCGATGGAGGCAGGCTCCCGGGTCTGGCGACACGCGGCGATGGAGGCCTGGCCTCTTGCACCGGAGGGCGGAGGGCTTTTGGTGATCGGGTGTCTGATTCCTGCCATTCTCCTTTCTCGCTCTCACCGCACCTTTGCTGGCTTGTCCAGTGCTGGTCTCCTCCTGTAAATTCCGAGGCTGTGGTGGTGTCTTCCCAGATGTGGTCCGCGCGCAGGGTCTGGTAATAAATGTTTGCTGAGGCTCTCAATGAATGGTCAGGCCTGGGGGACAAGACAAGGGACAGATGTCTTAGATGTAGGCGCCCCCACTCCTCCTGGCCAAGAGCTGAGAGCCCAGAGGGCAAGCCGATGGCCTCTTTGTGAAGTGGGATATAAGACCTTCAGGTTTATTTCAAGCAGACCCTTCTCTTCATACTTTTTCCCTTCTTTTTCACTCTCCATTCTCTTGCCACCACTCCCAACTTTTCATTCTGAACCTACCATTCTTGCAGCCTGCCCACCTCCACCGCATCCCAGTCAGATAGCTAAACTGAATAGAGGCGAGGAGGGTCCTTCTACTCTATTGAGTGATCAGATATATGGGTTGCCTCACATAGCCCTAGTCAGACAGAATATTTTACTTGAATTCAGATGTTTAGGTTGCAAAAACCTTTGTCTTTTTTGTCTTTCTCTGACTGACTTCTTCTTTCACTTAGCATTATACTTTCTAGATCCATCCATTATATATATATATATAGTGTTCTTTATTCATATGCCAAGGGACACTTGGGTTGCCTCCATGATTTGGTTATTGTAAATAAGGCTGCAATAAACATAGGGGCACATATATTTTTTCAAATTAGTGTTTTCATATTCTTTGGGTAAATACCCAGTAGTGGAATTGCTGCGTCATATGGCAATCCTATTTTTAATATTTTTGGGGAAACTCCATACTGTTTTCCACAGTGGCTGGACCAGTTTGAATTCCCACCACCGGTGCAGGAGGGTTCCTTTCTCTCCACAGCCTCACCAACAAATGTTGTCTGGAAAAAGATACTTTTAAATTTTCACATGCCACTTTGAATTTTTTTTTTTTACATTTATTTATTTTTGAGAGACAGAGAGAGACAGAGCACAAGTGGGGGAGGGTCAGAAAGAGAATGAATCTGAAGCAGGCTTCAGTCTCCGAGCTGTCAGCACGGAGCCCGATGTGGGGCTCAAACCCATAAGCCGAGAAATCATGACCTGAGCCAAAGTCAGACGCTTAACTGACTGAGCCACCCAGGTGCCCCTTCAGTGCCATTTTGATACATAAGTGGACTTTATGGAGAGTTACCTTTTGAATCAGCAGAGGAAAGAGTTTTGAGTAGTGACAGGAGAACAGAGTCCTTGGATAGAGCCGTGACTCTCTAGTGAGAGTGATTTTGCATTCCACCCCTCCACCCCCCCCAGGACATTTGACAGAGTTTGGAGACATTTTTAGTTGTCACATCTGGAAAGGTGCTACTGGCATCTAGCAGGTAGAGGCAGATATTGCTAAACATTGTACAATGCACAGGCAAGCCCCTCACAAAAAATTATTATCTGGCCAATAGGTGACTAGTGAGCTGTTGAGAAACCCATATAGAGAATGAGGACTGAAGAGAGGCTAAGGTACATGTGCTTTCACTTCAGGTAAGCACATTTGGGAAGCTTTTGCAATGGGTCTGCCTCATTGCCAGAATCTGTAGCAAAGTACACTGATGCCATTCCTTGCTGGGCCCTTGGGATCAGGAACATGGGGACCCTGAAAATCATAAACACAAGAAGAAGTGATTCAAGAGAGTGAGGCTGGAGAAGAGGAGTTAGGGAGAACAAAACTGTCCTTATATATTTAGACAGAGTACCAGATAGAAAAGAGGTCAGGGGCACCTGGGTGGCTCAGTTGGTTAAGTGTCTGACTTTGGCTCAGGTCATGTTCTGGCAGTTCGTGAGTTTGAGCCTCACATCAGGCTCTCTGCTGTCGGTGCAGAGCCTGCTTTAGATCCTGTTTCCCTCTGTGCCCATTCCTTGTTCATGCTTTCCTTCTTTCTGTCTCCCAAAAATAAATAAACATAAAAAAAAAAAGAGATGAGGTATGCTGTGGGGTGTACTGTTCCAAAAGGCAGAACTAGGACCTGTAGGTAACTGGTAGGTTCTGAATTTGATATAAAGAACTACTATAACAACTAGAAGTGTCCAGATCTGTCTTGAGGCTGCTGAGTTTTCCATCACTGAAAGTTCGTACACAGGCTGGATGACTGCTGATTGGCATTATGATAGAGGGGAGTTGATACAAAGGACACTCCAAGATAGTGTGATTCTATACTGCTTTTATGATTCTTTTCAAGAACTCAGGGCTCCTTGTTCCTTAGCTGTGTAGCTTCTTGGATATCTGACTCAACAGGTTTTATCCATTTACATGTGTCACTGTTTTTTCAGATGTAAAACAAAGATTTGATTTGCACAAGTCAGAACAAGCCAGAACAGATACATTAAAAAAATTATCAGAAAAGAATACTACAGAGACATGTACCTGCATTTGGGTTCTGCCCAAATATTTGGGGCAAGGAAGCTTGTTAGTTTATGGCTGCTTTCTCATCATGCTTGAGCCCTTACAATACAATTAACTCAAAATCTCATAAGGATTGGAATCTGAATCTGTTTGAGCTGGTCTCTGCCCATGGCCCTTATTTCTTCTTCTCAGTTTGTTAGCCACTGAATAAGTCCCCTTTCTTTCCTTCTACTCACAGCAGACATTGAGTAACCTCTGGTTGCTATTGATATACATGTTTTATAGTATAGGGCTCTAGAAATTAGAAAGGTTTACTTATTGTGGAAAGAATGTCAACTCCTGGGAGTAGTGGGGCCCTAACTTGGTAGTATTTTGTCCCAGGGCTGCCATGGTAATTTGTATTGCCTGGTTACTCCATAAGTTTTTTTTTTTTTTTTTTAAATATTTTTATTTATTTCTAGGAGAGAGAGAGACAGCGTGAGCAGGGGAGGGTCAGAGAGAGAGGGAGACACAGACTCCGAAATAGGCTCCAGGCTCTGAGCTGGCAGTCAGCACAGAGCCCGACGCGGGGCTCGAACCCACGAACCGTGAGATCATGACCTAAGCGAAAGTCGGACGCTTAACCGACTAAGCCACCCAGGCACCCCACTCCAAAAGTTTTAAAGAGGATTGTCCCTTGGATCTCAGGTGATAATGGCACAGTCATTTATTCATTTATTCACTCAATAAATATTTCCTGAGCACCATGTATGTGCTGGGTACTATTCAAACAGTGAGCAGAACAGGAGTTTACGTTCTGATTTAATTGGTTTGGGGTAAGGCCTGAACATTGGTATTTCTAAAAGCCTTTCAGATGATTCTAATGTGCTGCCAGGTTTGAGAATCACAGTTATAAATGAAACATTTTGGAAATTGCAAGGCGTTATAAAAATAAAAAGTGGCTATTAGTATTCCCTCCCTGTTCCTTCATTTTCCTGCCTGCATCAGGGCTGTGGTGCAAGTGCTGGCCATTTTCTTTTCAGCCCTTGTCACTATATGCCTAGACTATTTCACCCTCTTTCTAATCCAACTCCTTATCTCCTTTCTGCCTTTCACCTTCCAGCCCATTGTCTCTTGTCCAAGTGCTCTTCCATGCCATGCCATGTCACCCCTTGACTTAAAAGCCATCAGTGGATGCCCATGGCCTACAGCTTATCTCCTAATCACTCTCTAGAATCTGGCTCCAACTTCATCTCCTGCTGCTTTCTTACCTTAATCTTGTTCACTCAAGTGGTAGCTCTCATTCACGTTGCATCAAGAGCCTGCAGTCCTTTACTGGGTGAGCAAGGGAGTGGGGTGGCATTTGTCTGCTATGTAACCAAAACTTGAAGTACAACAGGGCGTTTTAAATGCTCCGTGATAGAACACATTTGTCTGTGATAGAGCTCTTCTGAGGCTGAAACATGAACCATAGTATAGTTCTCGTTGCCACTTGACCTGTTAACTTCTTTTCACAAAAAATGCTAAACACCTACCTAATGCTAGATTGTGTGCTCTGTGACAAGGACCTGGTGATGTGCAAGGTGAAGTGGTTGCCTTCACCTTGTGATGTGGCGGGCAGATCAGTAGTGTGTTGCTCTTGTAATTACAAGAATGTATTTAATGCTAGGACAGGAATGAGCTAAGAGTAGGTGCCCTTACTCTGTGTTTGGAAGGTAAGTGTCAGGGCAGGCTTTCTGGAGCAGGTGACATATCTATACAGAGGTTCTGAAAGGCTCCTGGAAGTGAGTCAGGTGGAGGAAATAGGCATGTGTGTTCTAGGCAGAGCAACTTGTTCAGAGAGAGAGAGCAGGCCAATTTGGGAACTAGAAATACTTCAGAATAGCTGAAGCTTAGCATGGGGGAGTTAAGAGGGCAGGAGGCAAGTGATGAAAGATAGGGCTTCCGAGGAAGGCGGGGAGCAGGCCTTGTTTGCACTATTAAGGAGCTGCGACTTAATTCTAAGGGCAGTTAGGGAAGGCTTTGGAGAATGGGAATATCTCATCCTAATTTGTGTTTTGCAAGACCCCTCTGGCTGCTGGAAGGAACACAGATTGAACATATTGAGCCTGGAAGCAGAGACTGGTTTGCAGGCTGTTGCCATCATTCACTTGAGAGGTGGCAGTGACAGAACCAAGAAGCTCCTTGAAGTCAAAAGCTTCGTCCTTTCCATTTCTTTACCTTCAACACCCCACACGGTGCCCTGACCCTCAAAGAACTAGTAGGTGTTTGTTGATGTAATCATCAAATATGTTACAAGTGTACAAGCCCGATAATGAGAACAGTTAACATTTATTAAACCCTTGCTGTGTGCTGAGAACTATTGTGTGTTCCTGAATTGACTCTTCACACCATCCCACCTGACATAGATTCTGCTGGAGCCTTATTCCAGAGAGAGAAGCTGAGCCTCCACTAGGTTAATTCATCTACCCGGGGCAGAGCTGGGATTCCAGTGCAGGTCTGTCTGATTCCAGAGTTCGGAATCTTAATGGTGACATGCTATATCAGCTCTTTCTCGTACAAATATAATAGATTGCTTCCATATTTTTCTTATCACTGGTTTTGAGTAGGAAATAAGGTAATTCTCTAAATATTTAATCCTAATTGACTTTCATTTTAACTCTAAATTTGTATTATTTATTTATTTATTTTTAAAAATTTGTTTCTGAGAGGGAAAGAGAGAGAGACAGAGACAGAGACAGAGATAGAGACAGCGTGAGCATGGGAGGGTCAGAGAGGGAGATAAAGAATCTGAAGCAGGCTCCAGGCTCTGAGCCTAACTGTCAGCCCAGAGCCTGACGTGGGGCTCGAACCCACGAACTGTGTGATCATGACCTGAGCTGAAGTTGGATGCTTAACCAACTGAGCCACCTAGGCACCCCTCTAAATTTGTATTTTAAAGAAATTTCTTTTTAATCAAAGTCGTAGTCTACAGAAAAATTTACATGGATGGGACTGGTAAAGTGCTTTCCCTGAATAGTGTTATCTTCCATCTGAAAGCATTATAATTAATGGGATTTTGTATCCATGCAACTGAAGTTAAGGTTGCAGTTTTGAGAAGGCAATCAAAACTCTCATAGAGAAGACCAGCCCTTAAAAGAAAAGACTGCAGTTTGCGCAGAAAGCACAGAAATGCTGAGCTGGGTGTGATCTCAGGGCGGGGTGAATGGTTGTGGCAGTAACTAGGAAAGGGTGGGGACTGCCTAGCTTCTCTGAGAGGAGCCTTCTTGGAGGCAGGCCCTGTCAGGCACTGCCGGCTGGTGCCAGAGGGAGCTCCTGGACCTACCACCCTACAGAAGGGCATCCTCAGCCACCAGCGAGGTGGGTGTTCAGTCACATCTTCCTTACAAAGAAGCTGCTAAGGGCCAAGTACTGGGCTTCGTGCTAGAAGCCTGGCCGTGAACTAGGCAGCCATGCTCCTGTCTTTGTGGAGCTAGTTGTGCTGGTGGTCTAGAGCAGCTAGGGGTTAAAGAAGAGACCACACAAATAAGTGTGAACACATGGACTGTAACTGAACTATAGGGAAGCACAAAGTGTTGTGAGAGCATGGGACCAGGGACCCGAGGTATGATGGTCTGGTATTGAAGTGTCTCCAAAAAGGGGACGTTCAAAGTCAAGAGGACCTAATGGGGGTGTCTGTGATTGAGTCAGGAAGAGTGTTCCAGACAGAGAGGACTGCAAGGGCATGGGCCCCAGGAGAGCAGAGAGCTTGGTGTGGGAGACTTTCAAAGGTTAGTGTGGTCAGAGAGCAAGGAAAGTGAATGGGAGAAAGGGTCAAGAGTGAGCTGGAGACATGGGCGGGGACAGGTCATGCAGGGCTTCTTGGGCCATCAGAAGGGTTTGGGAGTTATCCTAAACTCAGTGGGAAGCCATTGAAGGGTATAAACAGGGGAGTGATATTATCAGAGTTGCCTTTTTCAAATGCCACACAGTATCATAAAGAGAAAGGATAGGAGGAGGTAAGATTAGATTTGGGAGACCCATTAGGAGGCTGGCTTTGTGCACAGTGGAAGCTCTGGAGATGAAGCAAAGCAGATAGATTAGAGTTACAGTTTGAAGGTTGTTTCACAGGAGGTAGTGATAGTTTGAATGTGGGGAATGTGGATTAATGATGAGCAATTGGGTGAGTGGAGGTGCTAATTGCTGAAATAGGAAACATTTTCTCTCCATGTATTGATTGGCCTGATTAACACCTTCTCTCTCTTGAGATCTCAAATCAGAAACTATTTCTTTCTTTCTTTTTTTTTTTAATGTTTTATTTATTTCTAGGAGAGAGAGAGAGAGACAGCGTGAGCAGGGGAGGGTCAGAGAGAGAGGGAGTCACAGACTGAAACAGGTTCCAGGCTCAGAGCTGGCAGTCAGCACAGAGCCCGACGCGGGGCTCAAACCCACGAACCGTGAGATCATGGCCTAAGCGAAAGTTGGATGCTTAACCGACTAAGCCACCCAGGCGCCCCAGAAACTATTTCTTAAGGGAAGCCTTCCTCAACCCCCATCCATCCCTTTCCTCCTGACACAAATTCTTGAAACCTCATGTCCGTCACATAGCACTGTACATGGTTATAATTTCATGTATTTCTAAGTTTCCTTTCTATAACCCTCTCTTCTACTGTACCTCCTTCTCATCATTTTATCTCTAGTGCCAGCCAGAGGGGCTCAATAAATTTCTGTTGAATGAATTAATGAAGACAGAGGAGGTGGCTTAGGAGGGCAGATCAAGACCTTATTTTGTGCATATTTGGTATAAGATGCCCTTAAGATATCCAGGTAGAGATGTATATTGAGCAGTTGATGTGAGATCACCAGCATATTATCAATATTTTAAGCCATGGGAGTAAATAAACTTTCAAGGGAGAATGTGTGGAATTAGAAGGAAAGAGGACCCAAGACTAAGGAAGAACTTCAACATGTGAGTAGAGCAAGTGAAACCAGCCAAGAAGCCTGAAAAGCAGGACAGACTGGTGGGGAAAAAAGCCAGGAAAGTGAGGGGCCAGGGAGCCCAGGGAGGAGAGAGATCAAGGAAGAGGGGAGTTTCAGCCATGTCACAAGTTGAGTGTCTGGTTGATTGCTCAACTTCCAGGTAATTGGTGACTTTAATCAGAGCAGTTTTGATAGAATGGTGGAGGTGGGGGCCAATCAGAATGGGATGAATACTAAAAAGAAAATGGAGACTGTGTTAGTAATGGAGTAGAGCATAGCATTGACTAGTCAGCTTTGTGACTTTTTGGAGGGGTCCATATTTGCTTAGATTAAATAAATTAATATTAACAGTTCTCTCTGAGATATGGGATTTTGATTTTCTTCTTTTTATTCCTGTTGGTTCTACCTGCCAAGTATTTTTAGTATGTGACCTTTTGTCACCACCTCTGCTACCAGCTCCCTGGCCTGACCGACCATCATCTCATCTTTTATGTTGGTTACTGAAGAGTCTTATACCTGATCTCCCTGTGTTTACTCTGACCCCCAACAGACTGCTCTTTATATAGCAGTCACCGTGATCATGAGAAAACATGATCAGTCATGCTACTCTTCTACTTGAAACCCTTTGCTGACTTCTATTTCATGAAGGGCTAACAAAGACCGTATGGGATCTGACTCTGTTTACTGCAGTGACATTGTGTAACTGTTTCTCTTTTCCTCTCTGTGTCCCAACCATGTTGGTCTCCTTGATGTTCTTCTAATACACCAGGCAAGCTCCTGCCCAAGGGCCTTTGCACTCCCTGTTTCTTCTGTATATTTTTCCACTAGATACCAACTTGACTAACTCAAATCTTAGTTCAAATGTCATCTTCCCATTGAAGCCTGTCTTGGTTTCCCTATTTATTTTATTGTGAACCTTTTTTTGGGGTTTTTTAATTTATTTATTTTGAGAGAGAGAGAGAGAGCAAGAGCATGAGTGGGGGAGGAGTTAGAGAGAGAAGGAGAGAGAAAAATCCCAAGCAGACTCTGTGCAGTCAGCAGAAGCCTGACGTGGGGCTTGATCTCATGAACCATGAGATCATGACCTGAGCTGAAATCTAGTTGGGCGCTAAACAAACTGAGCCAGCCAGGTGCCCCGGTTTCCCTATTTAAAAATGTATATTTTATATTCAAATATTTACATTAAAATATGAAAATATTTATATTAAAATGTACTATTGATATACCAATTATTTACATTTTTCCTGCTGGGGGTGTGGGGTAAATGGGTGAAGGTAGCCAAAAGGTATGAACTTCCAGTTACAAGATAAATATGTTCTGGGGGTGTAATGTATAGCATAACAACTATAGTTGTTAATATTATGCATTTGAAAGTTAAGAGTAGATCTTAAAAGTTCTTATCAACTATAGTTGATAATATTATGCATTTGAAAGTTAAGAGTAGATCTTAAAAGTTCTCATCACAAGAAAAAAATTATTAGTATGTGAGATGATGGTTGTAACTTATTGTGGTAATCATTTTGTAGTATATACATATATCAAATCGTTATGTTGTACATCTTAAACTAATACAGCATCATGTGTCAGTCACATCCCCAGTGTTTTCAGTTTCCTTTCTCCCTGCTGTTTTTACTCTTTGTAGCATTACCAATTTTCCAACATACTATATAGTTTGTTAGTATTGTTTTTGCCTTTCTTTCCCCGTTGGAATGAAAGTTCTACTAGAGCAGCAATTTTTGTCTGTTTCATTCTCTGTCAGACTAGGACAGTGACTGGCAAGACTAGGCACTTAATAAATATTATCTATCTATTTATTTATTTTTAATGTTTATTTTTATTTTTGAAGAGAGAGTTAACGGGAAGGGTGAGAGAGAGAGAGGAAGACAGGATTTGAAGCAGGCTTTGTGCTACAAATGTGATGAGGGGCTCGAGCTGAAGTCAAGCTTAACCGATTGAGCCACCCAGGAGCCCCAGTAAATAGTCTTTAGATGAAAAAATAAGCAAGTAGTATTTTTATGATCAGAGAAAATGAAAACAAAGTCCTATGTGTTGGAAAGAAGAGGAAAAGTCTGCCCTGAGTAACAGAAGAGAGATTTTCTTTCTTTCTTTCTTTCTTTCTTTCTTTCTTTCTTTCTTTCTTTCTTTCTTTCTTTCTTTCTTTCTTTCTTCCTTCCTTCCTTCCTTCCTTCCTTCCTTCCTTCCTTCCTTCCTTCCTTTCTTTCTTTCTTTCTTTCTTTTTTAATGTTTATTTATATATTTTTGAGAGAGAGCGAGAGCAAGACAGAGAATCCCAAGCAGGCTTCTCAGTGTCAGCACAGAGCCCGACGTGGGGCTCAAGCTCATGAGCCATGAAATCATGACCTGACCCAAAAATCAAGAGTAGGATGCTTGACAGACAGCCATCTAGGCACCCCAGCTTTGTTTTAATTTCTGACTCTTGTTTTCCCTTTCTGCAGGCAGTAGCAGAGGAGAAATGATTGAACACAGCCTGTCACTGTGCTACCACAACAAACTCATCTTAGCCCCTATGGTTCGGGTAGGCACTCTCCCAATGCGGCTGCTGGCCCTGGACTATGGAGCAGACATTGTGTACTGTGAGGTAAGGGGCCCCTGATGTTCCTGGAGGGCCTTTTTTTTTTTTTTCCCCTCACCAGTACAGGCTCCTTTTCTGTGGATGGGAGTGGTCAGGAGTTGGTGGGAGACAGAATGGGCACTCACTTCACAGGTGCTCACTGAAGGCAGTGGGAGACAAACATGTGTGACTCTTATGAGTTCTCTAAGCCCTGTTGAGGGCCAGGAGCCCGGGCAGCAAGGAGGGCATTGTGGGGTGCCGGGGCCAGGTGGTTAGATGGGCATCGAGTTGGGTCAAGGCCCCGGCCCCTGTGGGAGTTAATAGACATTCAGTGTGTGAATGAATGAACTCAGGGTTAAGTAGAGAGGGAAGCTGTATGGAGTTGGTTTGGGGGCCACAGGGTTTTCTGGTGGCAGTAACTAGTTGGTTGCCTAAGTCCTGGCTGCTCTAGAGAATAGTAGGACTTCAGACAAAGGTTTAAAAAGTATTTTCTAGAGGCACCTGGGTGACTCCTACTTTTGGCTGAAGTCACGATCTCACAGTTTGTGGGTTTGAGCCCCATGTCAGGCTGGGCACTGACAGTGTAGAGCCTGCTTGGGATTCTCTCTCTTTCCCCTCTCCCTCTCTTTCTCTCTCCCTCTCTCTGCCCCTCCCCCACTTATGGTCACTCTATCTCCCTCTCTCAAAATAAGTAAAATTTTAAAAATAAATAAAAAGCATTTTCTAGGAAAAACAGCATTGTAGGAGTAGCTGATATTGGATAGTGTGGAGGTATGTGCAACGTTTCTCAGCTGGGCATCTAACAGAATTATCTGGAGAACTTCCCCCCAGTCCCTAGTCCTGATATGTCCCCCTAGTGTGTGTGAAAAGTTGAAGAAGAGGCTACTCAAATGCTTCTGATACTTCTGTCCCACTCGTGGTGGGATGGGTACTATGGCTATAAAAGGTCAGCAACAAGGAATCCTGGTGGGGATGGAACTGTTCTGTGTCTTAACTATATCAATGTCAGTATTCTGGTTGTGACATTATACTCTACCTTTGTAAGATATTACCATTGGGGAAGTTGAGCCAACAGTACATAGGAGCTCACATTCTTACAACTGCAGGTGAACCTCTGATTATCTCAAAATAAAAAAAGTTTCATTAAAAAGAAAGCCACTGGTATAGAGAGAAGGGGGATTTGGAAAGAAGACACCCTAATGTATTGGATGTTGCATGTGGGAGGGACGGGCTGGTAATTTTATGATAGAAAAGTAAGAGGGGGGGCGCCTGGGTGGCTCAGTCAGTAGAGCATACAATTCTTGATCTTGCAGTTGTGAGTTCGAGCCCCGTGTTAGGGATGGAACCTACTTAAAATTAAAAAAAAAAAAAAAAAGTAAAATAAAAGAGTGAGAGAAATAGGCAAATTAAGAAGAATGTGTGCCAGGGAAGGCAAACGTCAAGTTTGTCAAGTGTGACAGATGATGCAGAGGAGTCCAGTTGCAAAAAGACCAAAAAGGTGTTTGATTTGAAAATCCAAAGTGCACAGAGATACGCTTGTCAGGGCGATAGATTGTACATGTAGGTACTGGAGGCAAAGGAAGCTGGATGAAGGGAATTGGTTTTGTTTTTGTTTTTGAGAGACAGAGAGCATGAGCTAGTATGCAGGCGGGGAAGGGACACAGAGAGAGAGAGAAAATCTTAAGCAGGCTCCTTGCCCAGTGTGGGACCACATGTGGAGCCCCCTGTGGAGCTTGATTATCACCTGAGCCCAAATCAAGAGTGAGGTGCTGGGGCACCTGGGTGGCTCAGTCGGTTAAGCGTCCGACTTCGGCTCAGGTCATGATCTCACGGTTCATGGGTTTGAACCCTGCATCGGGCTCTGTGCTGACAGCTAGCTCAGAGCCTGGAGACTGTTTCGGATTCTGTATCTCTCTCTGACCATCCCCTGCTCATGCTGTCTCTCTCTGTCTCTCAGAAATAAATAAAAACATTTAAAAAGTGGGGTGCTTAACCTACTGAGCTACCCAGGCACCCCTGAAGGGAATTATTTTTAGGTGACTTGCGTGTTTACAGCATAAGGGGAAACACTTAGCTGTGAGGAGGGGCGTGATGATTTGGCTGATCAGTGGGGAGTAGGTAGGGCCTGGTCTTAGAAGGCAGATTCTAGATGAGGTGGTGGGGCTTAGCTTCAAGACAGGGCCAGAAAGAGAGTGGCAGTTTCATGGAAGCCAGGAAAGCCAAGGGGTCTTTCCTGAGAGACTTGTTTTACAAGATGTGGGAAGCCAGGCTTCTGTTGGCAATGAAGGGTAGCAGGAGCGGGGTGGCAACCTGAGGAAAGAAAGTGAGGGCATGTTGGCCCTGTTCCTGTGGGGAATGGGGTGGAGAGGTTTGCCTGGCAGCTGGGTGTGCAAGTCATACTGTTTTTCAGCTTTATGGGAAGGAGAGCTGTGAAGCTTGGAAGGGGGCTGCCCATGGCTGGGGATTGGCATGCCAGTGTCTACAGCAGGCCAGGGGCAGAGCCATCTAGGGTGCTAACAAGGTGAAATGGGAGGGAGGGAGTCTGTGTTGTCGAAATGTGAGAGTCCGAAAGGGAGGTTCCCATGTTCAGGATCACAGGCTTAGGACCTGACTTCTAAGTGGTTAACTGAAATCGAGGCGAGCAGGTCCAAGAAACGAGAGCTGGGCTTCCATAAGCTTCCAGGCTGCGAGAATGTGCTGAGGGCAGAGAGGAACCTGTGTCCAGGGGCCAGTCCCAGGGGAATGTGGTAATGCACTGTGCGTTATTAATCTTGTCTCTCATCCTTTGAGCCTACACTCAGCCCCCCCAGTGGTCATTCAAGAGTTAGGTATAGCCTTTCCTGGCTTGTACCCTCCTTGGCCTCCAGAAAAACCTCTTGGATTTAGAAAGGGATTGGGAGAAAGGACTGTGAGGACTCATGCACTGTGAGGGATTGTGAGGACTCAAGGTCTCAGAGCCTGAGAAACAGGGACCAAAAGACCAAATCCCAGAGAATGTAACTGTTGTTTTGTTGGTTGTGATACCCACTTGGCATGTTTGATGGATGCTTACTCTGGGAGAGTCAGTATAGCTTATGAAAAAACAGAGAGGCCTCTGCCAGAGGACATCTAGGCCTTCCATCCAGAAGAGAACAGAAGCAAGCTGGCCAGGGACCCTTGCTTGGCATGAGTAGGTGGCTGGAGTGCTGGAGGTGATGTAGTATGGTGCCTGGTGCCCCCTGGTGGATTTGGCATGTCTCTGCAGGCTGGCTGCCTGGATGATCTTCCTGGGTTCACATGAGGTGGTCCATCTGTGGATTAGTTAAACCACCTCACCCACTTCACAGGACCAGGGTATAGGATCTAGGGCATACCAGGCATGCAGGCACCTCCTTAAAAGCCCTGCAGAGCCCTCGGCAGCTGGAGGGGAAGAAACAATGAACTAGCTTAGCAAAAGTCAAGGGAGCAGTAGTCTGATTCCCTGCTAAGGTCTGCCATATATTGATAGGGGTTTTCCAGGAGTTCCTCAAATGTCCTGTATCTATTCCTTTTATAAAAACAAGGGGTCTCTAGTTGCCCAGACTGTGAGAGGACACCTACCTGTTAGATTTAAAACTTTTAATAAGCAAGATTAAGGGAGGAGGCAGTGTTCTTAAGAGGCCCTGATTGCCAGAATGGGTACTTAAAATTATTTTTATTGTGGTAAAAAACATATAACAAAAAATTTACCATCTTAACCATTTTTGTGAGTGTGCAGTTCAACAGGGTTAAGTTGTGAAACAGATCTCTAGAACCTTTTCATTTTGTACAACTAAAACTCTATACCCGTAAAACGAATTCCCCTTACCCCATCTCTCCAGCTCCTGGTAGCCACTATTCTGTTTTCTGTTTCTATGAATTTGACTACTTTAGATACCTCATAGAAGTGGAAGCATGCAATTTTTGTCTTTTTATGACTGGCTTACTTCACTTAGCATAACTTCCTCAAGATTTATCCATGTTGTAGAATGGAACAGGATTTCATTCCATTTTTAGGCTGAATAATATTCCATTGTATATATATGCCACATTTTGTTTATACATTCATCTGTTGATGAGCATCTGGATGCTTCCACCTTTTGGTTATTTTGAATAGTGCTGCCATGAACATAGGTATGCAAATATTTCTTTGATATCTTGCTTTCAATTCTCTGGGATATATATAGCCAGAAGTAGGATTGCTAGATCAGGTGATGGTTCTATTTTTAAGTTTTTTTTTTTAATGGTGTATTTATTTCTGAGAGGGAGAGAGAGAGACAGAGAGAGAGAGAGACAGCGTGAACAGGGAAGGGTCAGAGAGAGAGGGAGATACAGAATCCGAAACAGGCTCCAGGCTCTGAGCTAGCTGTCAGCAGAGAGCCTGATGGAGGACTTGAACCCATGAACTGTGAGATCATGACCTGAGCTGAAGTCAGATGCTTAACCGACTGAGCCACCCAGGTGCCCCTAGTTTTAAGTTTTTTGAGGAAACTCTGTACTGTTTTCCTTAGCAATGGCACCGCCTTGCAGTCCCACGAACCGTGCACAATTTATGCACATCCTTGCTAACACTTGTTCTTTTCTTTTTTTTAAATTTATTTTTAAGTTTATTTTTTATTTTTTAAAGTTTATTTATTAGTTTGAGAGAGAGAGATCAGGGGAGGAGCGAGAGAGATGGAGAGAGAGGATCCCAAGGAGGCTCCACACTGTCAGCGCAGAGCCTTATGCGGGTCTTGATCTCACAAACCACGAGATCATGACCTGAGTCGAAATTAAGAGTTGGATGATTAACCAACTGCGCTACCCCTGGCCCCTTTGGCCTGTTTTCTTTTCTTTCTTCTTCTTTTTAATTTTTATTTTAAATAGTAGCCATCCTAATGGGTTAAAGGTGATAGTTCATTATGGCGTTAATTTATATTTCTCTGATGATGAGTGATGTTGAGTATGTTTTCATGTGCTTGTTGGTCATTGATGTATCGCCTTTGGAGAAATTTTTCTTTTTAAGCTTATTTGTTTTGGGGGTGGGGAGA